ATCTAGGGATTAATTCTACCAGGCTTGCTTCGTACGCTGGATCTGACCTACATTTTCCAGATGAGTGACCAAGTTAAAGTTTTAGGAGCAGGTCCATTCCTAAGTAACTAAAAGCCCTACCTGGACCAAACTTGGATGATGCATCTAGGAATGACTTCTTCCAGACTTGCTTCGGATACTGGATCTGACCTACATTTTCCAGATGAGTGACTAGGAGTGAAACGGGTCACAGCAATATTTTTTCTTGGTTCGATACACGGTACCAAACCTCTATTTCTGGTTCGGTTCGTTTTTCGGTCGGTATCATCATTCAGTTAGGTTCCACATGTGGTACAAACATGCTTCTCCATTTAATTAGTTTAAAAACGTGAATTTTTGTGGACTTAAAGTCTGTAAAATAATTTTTAACAGTCAAATCAATTAAATTGATTTCTTTTATCCATTTTGCACATGTATTATTTGACTAGATTAACAAAGAAGAACCATAAAACAACAGTGGAATTTGTTTCCTTCTATCAAAATGTATCCACATAGAAAATAACCAAACCGAGACCAAATTTTATGATACATATCGAACGTTGAAGGAGGTGTATCGTTTCACCCCTATGAGTGACCAAGTTAAAGTTTTAGGAGTAGGTCCATTCCTAAGTAACTAAAATCCCTACATGGACCAAACTTGGATGATGCATGTAGGGATGGACACTACCAGACATGCTTGGGATGCAATCTCTCACCAAAGGGCGTTTTTACGCTCCGCTCCAACACCTCTGTTATCGTCTAAATTACAAGAATCTTGTAACACGAAAATAAATTATAGATTCCCACGAAGTTGGTAATTTTTTAAAATGAAATTAGAAATATCAATCTGTAGCACTTCTTTTGTTCTTTCAAAATTTAGATATATATTAAAATAGATTCAATATATACGGCACTATTTTGTTTGGAATTTTTACACACATTTTCATTTTGAAACCAAGGAGACAGAGTTAGAAAATATTTACTACCAGAGAGCTTAAAACACGTAAAATCATTGACAAAACATACAAAACAATCAATGTTTATACAATTTTTGTTGACATTTACTTATTTGGCAGTCCGAACTACTTTTTAGACGACAACAGAGGTGTAAGCCGAGCGCGCCCTCTGGTGAGAGATTGGCTTCGAATGCTGGATCTGACCTACATTTTCCAGTTGAGGGACCAGGCTAAAGTTTTCGGAGCAGGTTCATTCCTAAGTAACTATAAGCCCTACCTGGACCAAACTTGCATGAATGATTCATCTAGGGATGGACACTACCAGACTTGCTTCGGATGCTTTATCTGACCTAAATTTCCAGATAAGTGACCAGGTTAAATTTTTCGGAGCAGGTCCATTTCCCTAGTAACTAAAGCCTTACCTGGACCAAACTTGCAAGGATGATGCATCTCAGGATGGACACTACCAGACTTGCTTCAGATGCTGGATCTGACCTACATTTTCCAAATGATGGTACCATTGACCTACATTTTTTTCAAATAATCAACAGTGGTAAAGTTTTTGGAGTAGCTCTATAATTATATGGCCTGTTACGATTTAATATGCATTGGTGATGCATCTATGGATTGACAATTTCAGACTTGCTTTGATGAAGGAAATGAATGTCATTTTCTTGATTAGTGTACGGGTTAAGGTTTTTGGAACAGGTCAATTTCCAATGAACTATAAGAGCTACTTAAACAGGACTTGCATACATGATGTTATCAGGATGCACATTTACTTTGAAGAATTATGTGAGATTTGCATTACTTATAATGATCAAATTCATCGAGGTGAGCTTCATAATCTTTGATTACCTATGTTTTGTTTATGCAAAATATCATGCAAGCCAATGACTTTATCACATTATGAAACCCAAAGATTAAACACTTATTCTTAATTTTAATATAAGTAACTCTTTATTTATGGACGGATAGCAGACACTATAGGTGTTTATGCATTGAAAAAGTATTTTATTTTTGAAATCGCAGTGCTCCAAGTTGCGACTAAAACGGTCGCATTTGCAACCAAAAAATTGATTTTGCGACTAGAAATTAAAACTAAGTCGCATTTTCGCGACCGAGAAAATTTGGGCTGGCAACGTCCATCTTTTTATGATCGGGATCGAGATTTACGTTTTCAAGATTCTCTATCAAGACAATGTTTGAAGATATACGCTTTAAGGTTTCGTCAAGGTCAACATGTCTAAAAAATTTTTTTTTCAATAGCTCCAAAACTATGCCTGGTTATAAAGTCAAAACGTTTACAGTTTATAAATATATCATTGATTAATACATAGAAAGTATCACTTGATAACAAATACTTTTAAAAATTTTTTTCGGGGAGAAAAATTGTATCAGAAAATGTGCATATTTTAAAAAAAATGACCTGCTTTATTCTGTCCTTTTTGTGAAAACCATCATTGCAGAAATAATTTATGTTTATCATTGAAGGGCAAGTTGGACACGAATGGTCTCTGAAAGGCTGTTATTGAAAGCATGACATGTATAAAGACAAGACCCCTTTAGAACCCGCCATTTGCAATGTACTTTCACTTTCAAGCCTTAACATTTGGACAAAAGAAGCAGGGAAAACAACTTTCCAGAGCTATATAAGTCCAACTTGCCCTTCATTGATAAACATATTTTGTTTCTGCAATAATGGTTTTCACTAAGAGCACGGAATTAATTAGGTGTATTTTTTGAAAATATATGCATTTTTACGAAGAATTTTTCTCAATTACTTTTTTTCCAAGTATTTTTTTTTATCAAGTGATACTTTCTATCTGTTCGTCAATGAAAAATTGATAAACTGTAAAAGGTTTAACTTCATACCTCATATAGTTTTGGGGCTATTGTAAAAATAAATTTTTGAACATGTTGACCTTTGACGAAACCTTGACAGCATGCTGTATTAGTAATGTTTGATAGAACCAGAAACGTAATACATAGCGTCTCTGAGAGAATGGCATCCAAACGTCGTAAACTTTCTAGAGTTTCTCTGACCTGGTTATTAAAGTATTTGGTCAGTGGCTTGCATATCACAATTAATTAAGTGTTTTGGCAGCATTGATAACGACTGCGCTATGGCCATATGGGTAAGATACTTAGTAGTAAGTAAACAGGTAAACATGATAAACAATTGGCAAAGTCCTGCCTCAACAACTGTCAAAGTTTTATTTTCTTTTGATTAAACTTTAATTCTAGGATCAGATTACGTGTGTTCTTCTGTGTACCATACAAAGGGTGGTTGTATTCAAATTCAATTCAATTCTTTATTGGCACTAAAGCACATATTTATATACAGAAATGTGTTGTTAGCCATATACATGTATTGCAAAATATTATACTATTGTAAGCTTGTTTCTAACATCAAAACAGTCTCATATATAGACAGATTTGTTTCGTAGATCCAAAGTTATGTGGATTAAGCAAACAAGAAAAGTTATTAACATCTAGTAACCTCGAATACTTTTTTCTGACATTTTTATACACAGGACAATCAAATAAAAAGTGTTTTTCATCTTCAACAATAGTTTTACATTGGAAACAAAATCTATTTTCTCTAGGAATGACAGGATTACAGTATCTACCTGTTTCTATGTACAACTTATGTGCACTTATTCTTAACTTGGAAAGATAAGAAAATAAATTCTTTTGAAGTGGAAAACACAAGTATGGTTGGATTTCCAGTTTCTTAGCATCATAGTTGAATAATGTACTATAAAATGACAGCTTACCACATTGAGTATTGTTAATGTGTTGGAGTTCAGAAAAAAAATTATTTTCAAAGAAATCTTTAAGTTTAGGACTAAAAGTTTTAAAATCTGTGTCAAAGTTAAAATCTAACATCTTCTGTATTGATTTTACACAACTTTGCCAACATTTTTTATTTTCACTGGCCAATCGAGTATCTTCCAAGTAAGCATTCTTGAGCAAGACATTGCAATTATTATTTGTTTTTGTTAATTTTTCCAATCTGGAATAATATTTAAAAACAAGCTGGTAAATTTTGGTGTGTACAGGGAAAACACCTAATTCAATTTTAGTTGCTAAGTTTGATGCTTTATTATGGACACCTAAGATGTTTTTTAAGATAAAATTTTGGATTTTTTCAAAAGGAGTTTTATCAAAATTATTGGGATTTGTATTAAAATCAGAGATCCAAATTTCTGAAGAGTATGTTAAAATTGGAACAATAATTGATTCATATAGCTTTTAAACCACAAGCTGGGAGAGAGATTTGAGCCAAAGGGTAGTTTATGCTTTAAGGCAAAATAAGCTTTTCGGGCTCTGGCAGCAAGTCATCACAAGCATGTTTTAAACTGCCATTTGATTGTAAAAATACACCAAGATATTTGTACTTATCAGTAATATTTATATTATTATTGTTATAATAAAATGCATAATATTTCTTTATTTTTCTGGTAGAGCAAATCATAACCTTTGTTTTTTCTAAGTTTACATGCAACTTCCATTCTATACAATATCTTGAGAGACTTTCTATACAATTTTGGAGACCTTCAGCTGACTCTGATAATAAAACAAGATCATCAGCAAAAAATAAGTGATTAAAAGTTAAATCACCTAAACATACAGGGTAGGTCATAACTTTATCAAAAAATAATTTTCAAAATCGTCAACAAAAATATTAAATAAAGTAGGACTTAAATTGTCCCCTTGTTTAATAAAAATATATCCTTCAACTAGCAAAAGATTTCTAGTCATAGTAATCAATAATCTTTGATTTAATAAAAACATAACACATGTGGATGTTAGTTCATTGTTTTAATTGTGTTATTCACGTTTTCATCATGGCGAGTGAAAAATTTGTTAATGGCGACCAGAAATTCTGAAATGGCAACCAAAAAAAGTTTTAGGTCGCCATTTAGCGACCTAAAAGTAAGTGCGACGTGGAGCACTGAATCGCATGAATAAAAACCAGTCAGCTCTTTAGTGATTATCTTGTTATTTCTTTTCTTCTAGATAGGTCTTACATAGCAGCTGATTGGGAATCAGTAGCCAAGAATAAATTTTATTTGGAAAGGAAAGCAGAAGAATTTGAGCAACATATATCAATGACCATGAGGTCACAAAAGAAACAAGTTATACAATTAGATAACTGCTTGGATCTTTTTACAAAGGTGGAACAGCTTGGAGAAAATGATTTATGGTATGTTTCTTTTTGTCTTTTGAGCACTTTATTAACCTAACCAACTATATAAATTGTAATCAGGCATTTTGAACTGTTTCCTGATTCTTTGTTATGTTTTAAGAGGCAGTCCACCGAAAAACCAGGCAATGGGTGGCACATCACATGTCATGGATTTTAATTATTTTTTGCATGTAGACTTAGTATAGTAAGTGTTTACACTTGATAACATCAAAAAATTTTTTAGTGGTCCTCTAGTCCTATTTTTGGCAAATGCTTAATTTTAAGTGCTAAAATAGTAATTTTAATTCTTTGAAAATCTTCTTCTCTGCTCCTGGGTATTAAATTAACTTATTAAGTTCATAGTTATGATGAGCAAAAGTGCCTCTACCAAAATTGTGAAATTCATGGCCCCAGGGTCAGGGGTTCTGGTGTAAGGGCGTGACTCTATTGATTATATAGTGAAAATGCATTATTTCTTTGAAAATCTTCTTCTCTGTTCCTGAGTATTAAATAAACTAACTAAGTACATAGTTATGATGAGCAAGAGTGTCTCTACATAAATTGTGAAATTTATGGCCCCAGGGTCAGGGGTTCTGGTGTTAGGGCGTGACTCTATTGATTATATAGTGAAAATGCATTAATTTTTTGAAAATCTTCTTCTCTGCTTCTGAGTATTAAATTAATTAAGGACATAGTTATGATGAGCAAGAATGTTTCTACCAAAACTGTGAATTTTATGTCCCCATGATCAGGGGTTCTGGTGTTAGGGTGTGGCTCTATAATGATTATATAGTGAAAATACATTACATCTATTAAAATCTTGGTCTCTAATTCTGGGTAATAAGCAGATGAACTATTTATATAGTTATGATGGGCTCCTCTTCCAGAATTGTAAATTTCAAGGCCCCTGGGTCAGGGATACCAAAATGGGGGGGGGGGGGGGGCTCTACTTATATACTGAAAACGAATTGTTTGAAATCTGCTCCTTGGTATTAATCAAGTAATTTTGATAAGCAAGTGTGCATTTTCAAAAATTGTGCAATGTGTAGACCTAGGGTCAGGAGTTCGTGTGTGGTAGGAGCACTCCTGATTATTGCTGAATATTATTGATTAGTTGACATACATTTTTGTTCCCCTACCCTGCTTATGGGTATTAAGTAAACAAACTAAACAATTGGTAAGTGTAAATTTATGATTAGCAATGGTGCCTCTTTCAAAATTGTGAATACCATAGCATCTAGCTTAAAACATAAACCAAATTCAATCATTTGAAAGTTGTTGCATGATGCTCAGGTGACCTATAAGGCCCGTGGGCCTCTTGTTATGTGTACAGTCTTGATCAGCTTTATCAAAGGTTTTAAATCTGTCATCTGTAAAGCCTTTCCCCTATATTTTCCTATTTTACAAAATTTAATTTTATATAGATAAGAAAATGTTTTTTCAGGCTTAGCCTAATTATTTAAGAGCCCATAAATCGCAATCAAAAAGCAGAAGGGGGGAGAGGGGAGGGGGGGGGGCAAGGCAGCATTGTGGCATAATCTTAAAAAAAAAAAAAAAACTTGTTTTATAAATATGAAAACATTTTAGAATTTGTCAACATAGTCACATGTTTTTACTCCAGTATTAAATGTAAGTATGTGATTGTTTCAGTCGCCAAATTATTGATAAAGTAAATGAATAAAAATATTTAAAAAAAGAAAAAAGAAATGTTTCACTAAATTACCTTCCGTTTTAATGCCCAATTGTAGTAGGGAGTTCAGCAGTTATTTTCCTCAATACATGTATATATTTTTATTACTTATTTTTTAGTTTTTTTAAAAAATATATTTTTAATCGTTTCGGATTGTTTATTTTGATTTGACTGCATAGGCATACATGTATATATTCAAGTTTTTACAAATATCATGAAGTAAACATCTCAACTTCGTTGGATTAAATGTTGGAATGCGTAAATCCAAAATATTCAACATTCCTGGATATTCAGAAAAAAAAATCTCTTCACATCCCAATTTTATCAGAAATGTTCATTATAAACATTTAATTATTTTTACGCATACCCTATAGTTAATCATTAAAAAAATAAGGTCTTAGACATATATAAAATTACTTCTCAAAACAGACTTGTTTTAATACATCTATCTTTTTCTTTGCACTTTTATGCCAAGAATTTACAAACTTCTCTGGAAAACTTGTAACTATTTAATTGTGACGCAACATTAGTCAGGTATATGACGTCACTGATACATCAATGGAAACGTGGATTCAACCTGAATAATAGAGCCAACATTTAAATCTAAATATTGCGTTTGGAGGCAAAAATGAATTCTATTTTAAAGATTAAATAGTCATTTTTTGTTTAATAATTTTATTTTAGTGTATCGATTCTAAATATTTCATTAGGATTCCGATGGTAAGGTGTTGAGCAGATTTACCGATGCCACGGGAGATAACTCTTGCATCGCAAAATTTCATAAAAACATCTATGTATTTTGCCAGAAAACTACTGTCAAAAGTGTTTTTCCCACTGATTTAATTTTTGAAACAGAAAGATGAACTATTTCTAGACTTAGTTAGGCAAAAAATATAGTCCTGTTAAAAATGTATTGGAAGAAATTACAGTTCCTTGTTTCTGACCTACTTTCAATGGTTTATATAGGGGAATTCAAAAACACAAAACAAAAGGATATTTTACTAAATAAGTAATTTTCAAATAAATCTTCAATTACATTATTTGTTTTGGACTACATTGATACTGTTTTCAATAAAATATCAAATATCCCTCACATTCGATGTGCCGCCTATCAATACAATACTGCCTGGTTTTTCGGTGGACTGCCTCTTAATTCACATATCATAAAAGAGTCAAACAGTTTACTTGTTCACAAATGAACGTTAACTGTTTGATGGCTAAACTGATCCATTATGATGCCATTATTAATTCCCACACTTTACACCTATAAAATTTTATAAATTGAAGCATGTTTCATTTGAAATTATGATTTAAAAAGTAATCACAATACCCATAAAAATATATATTCAATTGAGGAATAATTTTTAGGTCCCATTAGTCACTCAGGTGACCTATTGCTATCCATTATTGCCCATCGTTGTGTGTCGTGTGTTAACATTTGAATATTTTCAGCCTCTTCTCTGAAACCACTGAACTAAATTCAACCAAATTCGGTATGCAGCATTTATGGGTGAAGGGGAACAAAAATTGTGAATTTTATGGTCTTGCCTCATGCTCCCCTGGGGCCTGAGGGATGGGGCCAAAACCACTTAAATTAAGGAAATCTTTAAAAATCTTCTTCTTCACTTCTGGACATCAAGCAATCAAACTGTTGGCCTCTACCAAAATTGTGAAATTCATGGCCCCAGGGTCAGGGGTTCTAGTGCTAGGGCGGATCGGGCTATATTGATTAAATAGTGAAAATGCATTATTTCTAGGGATGTCAACGAATAGTTGACTTTTCGACTATCAGTCGAATGGACCGACGATCGAATAATGAAATGACATTCGAATATTTAATAAATATGCAAAAAAGGAGGTGTTAAAGAATTTTCAACTCAAAATTGTATAGCGTCATTCCTCAAACCATTATAGTATCCGTCCTCAGACGAATAATAGCTTAAACACAGTCACATTTTTAGCTCTACTGGTCAGAGACCAGAAGAGCTTATGCGATAGTAATGCGTCCGGCGTCCGTCCATCTGTCTAGCTGTCCGTCTGTCTGTCTGTAAACAATTTTTCAAAATGCTACTCTTCCTACAGTTTTGGTCTGATTTCAATATAACTTGGCACACAAGTAGAATACACTTAACAGGTTGGGAACACATCCCCTTTAGCGAGATCATCTCGCTAAAGTGCGATTATCCCTCTGTAGCGGGAGAAAATACATCTCGGTAAACCGAGATTTGTACTCCTATTCAAACTGTAATCGTGTTAACTTCTGAAAAAGGAAAATCTGGGAGTAGGTTAACCCATTCGATAAATATTTATTGTCTCATCTCACTGCTGCAAATCATAGAAATTAGAGTAAGTTTATGAACATTAGCGTAGCCTTCCTACGGAGGACCACATGTGATAATTATCAGTACAACTAAACTTACTTCGGTTATAAGGTTATTGTAATTGCACGTTTACCTTATTTTTTTTAAATAAGCCTGCTTGAAAAGCGGGAGTATATACAGCATGATATAGTGATGGGGTGTCCGTCACTTTGAACTTTCCTTAGGGCATGACGATCTCGACACGAAGTCTGTTTGGTGACCTATATAATATATATAAATTCTTAAATCGTCTGATTGACTGATATTAAGTCCCACCTTCTTATTGTAAGAAGCGCCCTCATTGGTTCTTTGCTACACTCGTCAGAGTTTCCAGGATCTTCTAACAGAGATATTAATTCTTCTGAGTGTATATTTTACCCGTGAAAATAATACGTTCAGTTTCAGTTTTAAATTTTCGTCCTACGTAAATTAATCAACCCTAAAAATTATTTTATCCTATACTATGCACTGTCTCAAACTTTGCAAGTTATATTGGAAACGTGATATTTTAGGGGGAGGGGGGTACTAGGAACAAATATACATGTAGTAGGTAGGTTGTGCGACTAGATTTCTTTAAATGTATCATATACCAAGACTCTAATCAGCCATGGTAAAAGCTATCGACATAACCATTTTTAAATCTTTACCATAATTGAAAGTCTTACCGGTGATCAATCAAGACTCGATCTTCTAATAAGGAAGCTATTCATAAACATTAAGATCATCGCTTATATATAAAGGTGACTCTCTTATTAACTCTATAAAACAATTACAAGGTATAATAAAATGTAAAATACGAAGTATTCCATGCAATGTTCATAGATATTCTTTAAAAAATAAAGCATGTCATTAGCGATATTCATCCGGCGCCAAAATTAAATACGGTTGAAATTTTGCCGATTCGGCATTTAACAATAACAATCAACACTTTTAGCTCTTTTTATTTATTTGATTTTTTGGGGCAGATT